TGAATAATTAGTGAACTGTGTTTCTGTAACAACTGCAAAGTATGTGTTTCCACATGCAGCATTTTCATGCTTACAGAGAACATTAAAAATAACACAGAAAGGATTGAAAATCAAACCATCATGTTAAAAGCATGATATGCTGTCTCTGTAACAAACCACATTTACAGTAATTGGAAAATTTCTCCATGGGCTGGCCAGCAATGATGTTTTTAAGTGTTTTCATTTCCAATGAGGAAGTGTTATTATTTCCACTTCAGGAACCCTGCCGAAGAGATGCTAGCAATATCCCTTTTGGGGTTCAGGGTTTTTCATCAACAGGCAGAAATTGCACTACTAAAATACCAGTACATATTTATCCTGCTTCAACTCTCTTTTAACCTTTTCCCTTCTTAGGAAGCATCCAGATGCATCGCTTCACTTTATAAAAGCAAACTGAGCGTAGCCTCTGTTCTCTGCTTTAAGGAAATGATATTTCCATAAAGTAAACCAGCACCCACTACAGAGAAGGGCTGTGGTAAAATCTTTTTCCATATTTTTTTGCCAAGGCCAAGGTCATTTTGGTGTTGGCTAAAACTGAAGTAGGTTCAATATTAATTGCAAACTCTTCTGAGACAAACAGCCTGACAGACCTTTTCCATTAGTTGTATTCACATTCAGCCTCATACCCAATCTTTCTATAGCTACTTGTGTTTTTTTAATTTGGTTTTCTGTAATGTTTATCCAAGACAGGCCAGTGCTGATGGACTCAGAGGATTCTGTGCCCAGATACAGATGTGGTTTCAGCCTGAAGCTTGTGAAGGAGAAAAGGGTTATCATAATCAGTTAGCTTAAATAAGCTAACATTCGAGTTGTTTTCTCTATAAATTTGTTTTTGAGATATCTGTTGGTCAGCTGTTCCAATTCTGAATTAAATATGCCTTTTTGAGAAATTCAAAATGTATTCAAATTCCAGTGAAACCCCAGACATTCTTCTGATCCTGGAATACTCAGTAGGGTTTGTGCTTCAGCATACTGATTCTGAATTTCTGCTGTACTGCAAAGTTATACTGAATACGTTATAAAAGCTTCATTTCCCAAACCTTTTTTTCACTTTACAGAATTTCTGGTATGTTCTTATGGCAATTTTCCTACAAAAACTCCTGGCATTACTCCTTCATGGACTATTTCACGCCTCCCCCTCACTTGATGCCATTTGAGCATTTAGCACTGCACCCTCCAATTAGAAATTACATACACATACTTTTTAGTCTTGTTTTAAAACAAGGTTTCTTTATGTAAAGGCATAGTACTGTTCATAGGAGGAAAACAGAAGCCAGTAGTCAGAAAACATTTATACTCTGAAGCCTGTGGGGCCTTTAGGACCACATAACATATTTCTGTTCTCCAAATAAACAGCCATTTACAGCTGAAATATTCTGATGGTGCAAAGTTTACCATGATCTACAACAGAAACAGCAACTACATGTGAGCCAAAAACCAAAGATGAAGCATAGCTTGCAGAAGAAAATGTATACAACTGAAATCACCTGAAATCCAGTGCTGAGCTGTGCATTTGCCATCCATTTATAGGCAATTTCTGGGCTGGAGGCTGATTTTGGTGTTGCGTAAGCAGGTTATGTAAAGTAAATTCTGCAGTTCTTTATGTTATTCTAAACTTTGTTTAAAATGTTGTTCAGTGGAAAAACAGTGGCTTTACCACAGCAGAGTATATAATGCCAAGTATTTGTAAGACAACAGTACCAGTATGCTGCTTTATTTTTTGTTTCCTCTACTTTTTCCTCATTTACATAGAAGGAACTTAAAATGCTTTTATCCTCCAAGCAGGCACGGAGGATAAAATACTGAAATCAAGCAGTCTTTTGACAATGCCAGGATTTAAATGAGGGCCTTCATGGGAGCGTGCCACAAGGAAGATCTGTTTCTTGGATGCATCCCAAAAGCTCCCCAGATATCTGATGTCATGCAGCAATCCCTACGGACTCCCAGCAGAAAATGCACCATTCAGCAGGAAAGTGGCTTGCTCATTTCCCTGGTTCTCTGCATCCCAGTTTTCTGGTATTCCTGATCAATTTCCTTCTGTCTTCCTTCAGTTTAATTGTCCTCTAAACTTCCAGCTATTGCCAGAAATTACTTTACAAAGTTCTACACTGACTGATTTTTATGTTTTTCCTTCAGCCTTTGCTGTGGTGTGCCTGCTGCTGTTAACTGTGATGAAGATTTCAGACCCTTCAACTCAAGTCTTGATAGAGAAAGGTAATTGTTACTTTCAGTGCATGTTTTTCAGAAAAAAAATAATCTGACTTTCATTTGTACCATTTCATGGTTTTGTGGACAGCTTAAGGGTATTAATATTAGATTATCTCATTGCAGTCTTGAGACCTTTGCCTTTAGGTGTGATTTTGGAATGAATAGTGGCTACTCATTCACAGTCTTGTTCTGTCAGTGTGAGCCTTCTTTTCCACCATTTGATGCTTTTCAGTTAAAACTTAGAATTCTGTTGCTTTGTAAAAAGTATCGCCTTGTATCAGGCTGTTGTGTACCTTTCATCAAGTTCCAGTTTTTACCAAACCTCTGCCCACTGGATCACTAAGACTGCAGATCCTGAATTGCAGATTTCCTTAAAAAATAGACATTCCACGTCTGCTTTCCATTGGGGTGAGACTATTTGGATATAAAATTTAAATTAAACCTGGATAATGTGCGCCCAATTGAAAACAGCAGTGGCAGGCAGCAGCTGTAGCAGGGAACAGCACATACTCTTAGTCTCTAAATGTACAAAGAGATGATATTCACTAAGATATTCACTAAGGCTAGGGGTTTTTTTTTTTACTCTCTGTGGCACTGCTGAAAGCATAACCATGCTGACAAAGCCAGCTGAGTGATTTACAGTGCAGTACTTCCATGAGGAGACATCAAAAGGGGAGTCCACTAGAACCCAAGTACCAGCCAAACCAGCTGTCAGTAATACCAGCCTGGGTGAAATGGATGGAGACAATGTACCATGATCGGCAAAGAACAGGAATCCAAACAAAACATTAGGTGAAACAAGAGCACCCTGGGAATGGAAATTGTTTCAAGGAGCCCCTGTTGGCTAGCAGAGACCAAGGACAAATACCAAACAGCCTCAGTTGAATAAGCTTTAAACATTTTATAGAAAGCTGAAGGACTTAGCCTAATCCAACCTATTTATTTATGTGAGTGTTTTGTGAACTTAATTACAAATTTAAAATGTTTCCAAATGAGTGGAGTGCTTCTGTTACAATAGCTTGTCTAGCCAGGCTTCTCACCAGCTGCCTAGACACTGAAAATATTTCTCATCTTGAGGTGTTTGTGATCTCAAAGGTTTGTGATCTCCAGAACTTGGAGAGACTACCTTAATCAATTCAGTAAATGAAGGCTTCAGTTATTGCTCTTGCAGTCTCTGGTTAGTTTTTTGTTGGTTGTCTGACTAGTTGGTTTATTTTTTGCTTTTGTCTCTTGGTGTTAGTCTTACGAACATCTGAGCTTGTGTGAAGTGCTGCAGTAGGCTCTGAAGTCAATACCCAGGCACACTGATATCACAGATTACCATGGAGTATTTATTAAAGGCCACACAGAAGTGACAGCTTGCTCTCAATAACTATGTGTCTCACATTAAAGGGCCTGGCCTTGTAGTTAAGTCCATCCCTGAGCTCCCAGGAACCTACCAGACACATGGGAATAGGTGCCTTCCCTCAAGGAACAGTCAGCAAAGAAGGGAGCAGCTTGTGGAGCTCAGTGCACTTGAAATTGAGATGAAGAGCTGCTTTCTACAGCAGTTATTTGCTTCACATGTGCCCAGAGACAGGATAGCCTGTGATTACAGAAGAAGCTGATGTGAGGGAAGAGGCTCAAGACTGTGTTTGAATTATAGGTGTCTAAAATGAATGGCAGCATAAGAAATTGTAGACCCAAAGGCCTTTGAGCCCCATTAACCTTTAATCTACAATGCCCAGAGTAATAGTGAAAAAAAAGCTGGTCTGGCTTATTTTCCCAACTAAATTAGCTGTAAGCACCATAGTTATTTACAACATGCAGAAAGTGTCAAGATGATAGTTAAAGTACTTACTTTATAGAGGCAACATAAATATTGTTGCATGTGAATTTCCCCCAATCCTGACTGCAGGATTTGGTATAATCTTTGCTAGGTGGTGATTTTTTTTCCATGAAAGAGGAAAAATGATATGAAAGGAGTTGGTAACTTTACAGACCCTTTCTTTTTGTGATCCCACCTTGATTTAACAACTCAAAAACGGTAAAGACAGATTTCTAAAAGTTATGTGCACGGTTCAGCTGTGCCACAATTCTGCTACTAGATTCACCCAAAATATTGTTTCATGAAAAAGAAACGCTTCTTATGAAGTCGGCCCCATAGGATGCACTATAATGGGGTTTTCCTTGAACACATCAGACATCTGGTTTAAAGCAAATTTTGTGTTTCATTTTCCCATCTTACCCTATCAAGCTTTATTGTTTTACAGTTTCTACTTGATCCTGCATCTTTTTCCCATCCAAGTTTTTTATCAATGACCAACTATGTGGCCTGAGCAACTTGGAGAAGTTCTTCTGTCCCAAGCCGTGCATTTGAGGCGCTGCACAGATCAGGCTGTTAGCCCAGCAGTCACTTCTAACGGGAAGAAGAGCGGAGCTCAGGTTTAGGGGGTTTTCTATCGAGAGGAGAGCGGTGTACGTCTCTCGCTCCCTCCCTGCCTGTGTGACAGCCCCGGGGGCGGTGCTCGCGGGCCCTGCGGCCGCTGCCCGGGGCGGGGGCGGCCCGGCCCGGCCCTGCCGTGCTCGGCGCGGGGCCGCTTCCCCCTCGGCGGGGCCGCGGCTCTTAAGGGCGGCGCGGCGGGGCCGGCCCCAGAGCGCCGCCAGCCGCTCTGCCGTGCTCGGCCCGCGTTGCAGCCGAGGCGAGGCCGGCAGCGGCGGGGCGGGCAGCCCCATGCGGCTCGGGCGGCCCTAGGCTGCGCGCCGGCCGCAGCATGCCGCTCCCTGTGCGCCTGGCGTGGCTGCTGGGGCTCTGCAGCCTCTGCCGCGGCTACTTCGAGGGGCCGCTGTACCCCGAGATGTCCAACGGCAGCCTGCACCACTACTTCGTCCCCGACGGGGACTACGAGGAGAACGACGACCCCGAGCGGTGCCAGCTGCTGTTCCGGGTGAGCGAGCAGCGGCGGTGCGGCGCGGCGGCGGCAGCGGGCGGCGGGCTCAGCCTGCGCGAGGAGCTGACCGTGCTGGGCCGGCAGGTGGAGGACGCGGGCCGGGTGCTGGAGGGCATCGGCAGGAGCATCTCCTACGACCTGGACGGGGAGGAGAGCTACGGCGCCTACCTGCGCCGCGAGTCCGCGCAGATCAGCGACGCCTACTCCAGCTCGGACCGCTCGCTGAGCGAGCTGGAGGGCAAATTCCGGCAGGGCCAGGAGCAGGGCGGCCGGGAGGAATCCCGCCTGGGCGACAGCTTCCTGGGGCTGCTGCTGCACGCCCGCGCCCTGCTCCGCGAGACCCGCCACGTCTCCAGCGGGCTGCGCGACAAGTACGACCTGCTGGCGCTGACGGTGCGCAGCCACGGCGCCCGCCTCAGCCGCCTCAAGAACGACTATCTCCGCGTCTGAGCCCCCCTCAGCCGCCTCAAGAACGACTATCTCCGCGTCTGAGCCCCCCTCAGCCGCCTCAAGAACGACTATCTCCGCGTCTGAGCCTCCCTCAGCCGCCTCAAGAACGACTATCTCCGCGTCTGAGCCCCCTCAGCCGCCTCAAGAACGACTATCTCCGCGTCTGAGCCCCCTCAGCCGCCTCAAGAACGATTATCTCCGCGTCTGAGCCCCCTCAGCCGCCTCAAGAACGACTATCTCCGCGTCTGAGCCTCCCTCAGCCGCCTCAAGAACGACCGTCTCCGCTCCTGAGCCCCCCGGCTGCTGGGGACCCCGCCATCCCGACCACCCGTCCCCCGCAAGGCACGGCCCTGGCGCCCGCCTGGAAGGAGCACCTCCTTGGACAAAGCCTAGAATTATAAAGCTCGGAAAAGACCTCCGAGATCATCAAGTCCAACCCTTGACTGAATACCAGCACGCCTACTAAACCATAAGTGCCACATTTGCTCGTTTTCGAACGCTTCCAGGGATAGTAACTCAAGCAAAATACATTCTTCTTCATGGAAAAAAAACCTTATTTATTTTGCCTTCCAAACAAATAGCACAATTGTATAAACCAGGAGGTTCGAGGTATATTTAAGTTAATATCCGAGGTATGTTTAAGTTAATATCCCATATTCAAAAAGCTACCCTCTGTTATATCATTCACCTTTGGTTGCAAAGTGAAGTAAGCTTTCTCATGTCTGACTCCCTGGTTTTTGTTTTTTGTATCACCTGCCCTGCTGTGACTCACCTGCCCTAAGTGTAGCTGAAGTGAGGTGCTGGCCAGCTCCTTCCAGACTCCTGTGTAGCAAATACTTAAATTGCTTTTGTTGTTAGCCCTTCAGGGTGACACCTCTGGCCCTCTGTTAACTTCCTTTCTAACGATATGTATTATATGCTCCTTAAATGTTGTTCCACTACATTAAGCTGTGATTTTTATTTGTGTTTGGAAAGATGGGAACTATTCTGGCAGGATTTGTACTTCCAGGCTTGCTTATCTGTGACTCTAAGCTATCATAACCCTAAGAAGCAGCCAAAAAGGCTTATGTCAGATCCTGAGAATGCTGGTAGAGATTTTTATAGCAAAAAGAATGAGCCCTAGCACTGGTTAGAGTTTTGGATCCCAGATTTGAGAGCCAGGAGCGTGTTTCTAAAGCTGACTAAAAGGTTTTGTCCGTGCAAACACATTGACTTTTCTGGTTGGTGCCTTTGTACTTTTGCTAGCTAAGTTATTAATATAACTTTGTGGTCCTGGACAATAGCAAAAGTGCCTGGTGGGAAAGAGGGTGGGGTTTTTAGACTCGTTGCTGTTTAACTGACAATTTTGGGTAATGTGGCTATTAAGTTACAGATACTGCAGGCAGAATACCTGTTGGGATGAAAAGAGTTTCTAAGTTGTTGTAATAAATATTTGAAAACAATGTTAAAGTACATTTTTGTTATTAGTTTCCAAGACGCTCTTGATTTTAAAACATTCTGTTGGAATATGTCTTTTCAGCAAAACATTGAAAGTTTGTAGCCCTTGCCAAGTGAAATAACTTGCTTTTTAGTAAAAACAAATAAAAATTTACAGACTTATGAGGTAATCAAGTTTCATTAAAAGCAACAATACAAAAGGCCTTGTGGGGCAGACTTCTTTGAGTTTTTAAGCACCCGTGGAAGAGAAGCTGATGTACTTCTGAGGTCTGTTCCTGTTAACCCTGCTCCCATTTAGTTATAGTCCAGCCTGCAAACCATTCAGTGGGTAAGTTACTCAGCAGTGCAGTGGCTCAACATAAGTCAGCTTGGACTAGAGTGCTGAAGACACCAGGAAAGTCTCATGAAGGTAGGTTCTTACAGGTGCTTACAGAACCAGACAGCTCATTTTGCTGAAGGCAGTGAAATGTAGCCTACTGGCAAGATACTTTACATGTCATTTGGCATCTTTAAGTCCTCAGTATCTTTAAAGATTTGCTGAGGAAAAAAAAAAAAGGAAACATTTTATTGGTTGACTCTGGTGAAACCACTCAATGTTATTTTTCTGTTCTCAAGTTAGAAACTATATGACAAGTTCTAGCTCTTAAAAATTAATTTATTGGTGATACTTTCCTTGCCACTAGAGACGGATGGCACAACAGAAGAGTGAGCAGAGTCACTGAGTCTTGTGTGCTCACTCTCTTAGCAAAAATAAGAGTATTTCTGGGCTGGACTCCAGAAATAAAAGCTCCAGAAGTGCCTGAGGCCAGTCTCCCCCGAGGATGTCATGCAGTTCCATTTGTGCCCAGAGGCTTCTTAAAGGAAGTTTAAGTCTGTGTTTTACCCACTTTGAGTCATTTGTTATAACATGAAGTAAATAAACATCAACGTTTGTTACAACATCAAACTGTTTGTTACAACATTAGTAAATAAACAAAAATGGCATGACAGTGCTATTTTTTAGACATATGAGAGCAGTATTCAAATATATATATATATATATAAGCAATTCAAATATATATTCAAATATATATATAAAAAGCAATAGTAGCATAAAACAGCTTCTTGAATATCCTTTAAACAGCTTGACTATGCTGTTTGCAGTAGCAGATGTTTGGTCAAGCTGAAACTATTCCAGTGTATGCAGCATACCAAAAGAGTAAATGTTTGCAGAATGCTTACTTTTCAAAGCAGGAGATATGTGAGTATTTACAGAATAACTCATTCCACCCAATGCCCTCTAAATTGTCATCTAATGAAACAAGACTGTGGTACTTTACAGTCCACACTAATGTTTCATATCATATATGAATTCTTGACATTTTTTTATGTTTCAATAAAATATAACCATTTTTCTACTGTAAATATGGCAAAATTCTGATTTTGTTTCAGTAGCATTGATTTTGGAAGGCTTTAAATGGTCCTTTCTAGGAGAAAATGAAGATATCTGAGTCTGATCTGTGTATAAGTTCACACATTTAATACAAATGGTCAATCTTATGTGGATTTGATGAAGCCAATACAAAAATCTCTTATGAAATTTAAATCTACTAGAGTTTGATTTACATAACTTTGGCTGACCTAAGCAAATGTGTACATTAAATATATCATTTTTTTGAGTCAGAGCTGATGCATTAAATGGTTTTTATAGAGCTGCCTGCAAGAATTAAATGCTTAGTGATGTTCAACAGTTTAAAGTTTTAAATTCAATTTTTTTCTTTAAAAACTACAAAAACTATATTGCAATACTCTTTGCAATCTTATAAATATCTTGCTTTTGCTTTTTTATCTGATAAAACTTACTTGTTTGGGAGGTATGAAAATCTTCTGGCTCTTCATACAGACTATTTTAAATAGTAAAGGCCCTTTTACCATTGAAAATTTGGAAATTACTTTTAAGCAGAGAGCTTTAAAAGGATGATTGTAGCAGCAGTAATCCCCATTATGTTCTTCTGTTATGTTAAAATATTATATTGGTACTAGATTCTTTTTTCTTTTTCAGAATGCAGAAGTTCAAGCTAAAATTGAGGTGACAGTGGGGCTTTTTGTAGTTTTCTGATGATTTTCAAAACATGTATTATTTCTAAATTTATTAAACAGTTGATGGTGCTGAAGAGCAAATGACTATTTTCTGGGGGGGGGGGGGGGGGAAGTGCTGCAGCTGGAACAGTCACAGAGAGCTCACTTAATAGTTAAGTTTCTCATCAAGGGGAGCAGGCTGCCCAGAGAAGGTGTGGATGCTCCACCTATGAAAGTTCTCAAGGCCAGGCTACATGGAGCTCTGAGCAGCCTGGTCTGGTGGAGGGTGTCTCTGCCTGTGGCAGATGGATTGGAATGAGATGATCTTTGAGATGATCTTTGAGATGATCCCTTCCAACTCAAAGTGCTCTATGATCAAAGCAAGGCACTAAGGGACTCACCTGCACTTCTCTCCAGGTAGCTCACTTTTGAAGGCAGTGCTCTGATGTGGGCATTCTCACATCCACTGATACACACAGAACAGAAGCTCAGAGCATGCCCAAAACCATTAACAAAATCTCAAGAAAGAAAAGTGTGCTTGCCTTGTGCCAAGTGAATGGGTGGGGATTCAGAGGGGAGTGTGCAAACTGGATTTCAAAAACTGCAATGTTCAGTTTCACAGGTTGACTTACCCAGGACCGTCATCACGGAGAGAAGTCAAGGGAAGCTTTCAAACCTTGGTAAGCCTTTAAAAAACCTTATGTGTGCCAAGCTGGGCTGTATGAATTGTCTGAAGCTAAATTGCTGCTCCTATAGGTTGTCATGTACTCAGATGTAGATTGGCAAGATGTAAACCTCATAAGCAAAAAAATACCTGGCTTAGTCACTAGAAACAACCTTGTGAACTACAGAGCTCTGGTCATAATCTTGTCTAGGAAATGTGTATTTTGTGGAGAAATTCTATTGGATGTGTGTCTATTACTGTTGGTGTGGCTGTTTGTTTAGATGGCCTTCATGTTGCTTTACCAGTTTTTTTGCTCATGCTTCTTGAATATCAATTTTGTGACGATTAAAGAAATTTTCAGCTAACACTGAAGTGTTGTGAGTGAAGTGCATTTCACAGCCACTATTCCTGAAGTAAGCCTGTGGATTCAAAATCTGTAATTTCTCTGTCTTTTAAAATGTATTTTTACTTGCAGTTCATTGGGGAAATTGTTTTTTTATTACCTAGATTTTTTTTTGGTGAGCCATTAGCAAAACATTGTTCAATTTGTGGCTCTGCATTTCATTCCTATAATATGTGAAACTGGCAAAAAAACCTGACTGTGCTACATGCTTCTTTAAGAAGCTGTTATTAGAACATATATGTAAAAAAAAAAGACTAAAACTGCCTGTTTTATTTCCTTCATTGAGTTGTCATCCTGCCTACAAGATCAATTTATCACTGGAAAAGGCAGAATTTAATGGCTACGTCTGTAACAAGGAAAACATATGGTCTCCATAACCACTACATTTTTAATGATGTGGCTTGGATAGAGCCATTCCTCCTTGAAAACTACCTTACCTTGGGGAGGTACTGCTGGCAGTCTCCAGCATGCCATTAACATTCCTTCATAAGAAAAGACAATGCCAAGAGTATCGTGTTTGCTCAGATGACAACCTTACTTAGACTGCAGACACTCCTTGTAGGTGCTTAGAAACTGTTTAGTGGTCATTGTTCGTGTCTAAACTCTCCTGGAGGGTCGGGGAGGAAAGTCATTGGGGAAGGTCGGCTTAGGGAAGAGATTCATTATCCAGTGAAGGGGATAATGTGAATATTGTGAAGAGTATGATGACAAAAAAAAGATATATACTTGTGTGATATTTTCCATACATTTTTCCACTCTGCCATTTTTTCCCTGTGACAGGGAAACCATAGAGTAGTTTTAGTGTTATAATAGAAATTTACTATTATTAATACTAATAGTTTGGTATTATATATTTGGTATATAGTGTAAATACTATTATTTACACTAAAAATTTGGATACACTCCAAACTGAAAGAAGTTTTTTTTCTGTCTACTTGTTGTCTCTTCTCCAAAATATATGACTATGATTCTTAATTTTGTGTTAGGCTTTAATCCACGAAAATCAATTCAGCGGACTTATAGTTTTTAGTTTCTCAGCTGGATTTATCTAAGACCTTTTTATGCCTTTTTTGGGGTAACGATTAAGAATTATTTCCTTTACACTTTCTGTGTGGACAGTTTTTTGTTAATGAAGAGCAGTTAATTTTTCTTAGTAGCAGGCTTTGTCCTTTCTTAATTAATATTATTTTGTTTCTAATTTAATGTAATTTATCTGAGATTTGTTTTTAAGTAATGCACTTTATACTCAGGATTCAAACAGAGGTACAACCAAATGCAAGCTAATTCATAATTCATAACTGGATCTGCATATAAATTAGGATGCTATTAAATTTGTGACTTTAAATAGTATTTTACATACTCTCTAATTTAAGAAGAGTAACCCTAGAAAAAAAGAGCAAATAAACAAGAGGCCATCTTCATCTAATCTACCAGATGTAGATTACATCTAGTATTTAAAAGCCCAGGTTCTTTTGTTCTTTCCACACACCACCACCATTCCCTCTTCCTCCCAGGAGGCTGAAGTGGTTTTCAGGCAGTGTCTCCACTGCAGTGCTGTGCAGCCATGAAGGAAGGTGAGTACACGGGGCTCTGTGCCTTTATGGGGCATATTTGCTGTTGGCTTGTGAGGTAAGAGCATCAGACAAGTGTTTTTCTGCAGACACTGGCACATGTGGGCACACAGTTTGTGGTGACTGGGAGTGGGGCTGTGGCCCAGCCTCATCCCCAGTGGCTCCAGCTGTGCAGGACAGGGGAGCAGCACTGACAGCAATGAGCCATGGGGTGCCCAGGGGTGCTCACCAGCTGCACAGTAACAGAGGGCACACAGGTGCAGTGCATGTAAGATGAAGAGTACAAAAGGCTGGATTAAAGAACAAGATGGGCAGACATCTGCAGCCTTCTGAAAAGGTACGGTGTGGCAGTGGGGGTTTGAAGAAGTTTAGTCTCTCCCTGCCTATTGTGGGGCCAAGGAATCAGCCAGCAAAGGAGTGGTTGCTCTCCCCTGGAGAGCCAAGCCTTGAATGAGGCGCACCTCAGTTAGGGTGAGGAACCTCTCCCGCGCATGATCCTTTGCAGTTCTCTGTTAATTGTTGTACCCCATTGGATTTTCCCTTGTTACTCATCCAAGTTACATGTATCCCATTCGTTCCTTGTTTCTCCCCGCCCTCCAGTTCCCGATATAAACCCCTGTTTTTCCCTGTGAAACCGGAGCTGCTGTCCCTGGCTCCCTTCACTGAGGCCCTGCTCTAATAAAGGCCTGCACTCTGTGGAACCTGCCACATGGTGCTCAAGCCTCTTTTCTCTCGGCACCGCTGCCGGGCTGAGAGCTGAGAATTGCTCTGCTGCCGGGATTGTGAAGAGCCAAGGGTCCTGTTCTAAACTGCAGCAAAGGAAAAATATTGAAAAACCATCTGATAACTCCAGTAGGCCTTTGTGAGTCAAAATACTGAAGCCCAGGACATTTTTTCGTGCACAAAGAGAGCTGGCAAGACTTTGGTCCTGGTAGCATCAATATGTTGCCCTGTGAGTTTAAGAACAAAACGAGAAGATAATAAATATGCAATATTTGACATTGATAAAGTCATTAAAATACGTATGTAATGGCTTATTGATTCAGGAAGCGTCCCCTGAATTTTTCTGAATATGCAAAAACATTAGACCAGAGCTTTTCTAATTCTAGGATCTGTACACCATCGTTCTGCAGGAAAGTATGCATCTGGCTTTAAATAAAAGAGTATATCCATAGAAAGTGGTCTGGCTGTGAAAGGAGAGAGGAACTCTCACAAAACCCTGTTGCTAGAGTCATGTTTACAAAGCTTTTCCTTGCAGGGAGGTGGATTCTGTGTTTTCTATTCCATAGTATCCACAGCAGGGGTTATGGTGTATGTACTTTCATACTTTAGATTTTGAACATGGTTGGCAGCAGCTCTGGCTTTTGGTTTGTGGAATTGGTTTTGAGGTGTCTTGAGACTGAAACGTTATGGCTAAGGGCTCAAACATTGCTATGAAGGAATTGTTGCCCTTTTTGGCAAAACTGCACAATGAAACTGTGACCACCAAAGCCCACCCCTTCCTGAATGTGCCTCCTGACTGGAACTTTGGACTGGGAGTTCAGCTGCCTAAGGGAACACGAGATAACAGTGACAGGATTGTCCAGTTACCTCAGGGCTAGGGAGACGTAAACAAGGCTGGGGAAGAAGAAGGTATTCACAAGAAAGCCAGACCCAGCATCTGTCCTGAAAATGCACTCTGGCTGTGTCCAGGGTGGGGGAGCCCACAGACTCACCTGCTGAGGCCAGGTTTGCCCTCACCCCAACCAAGGGGAGAGGAGGTTTCAGGGCTGTTGCATCATCTCTGGTCAGAGGGCATGGCAACGAAAGACAGCCAAGATGACAGATCAAACTGAAGGGATTTTTGAATAGATATGTCTGACTATACCCTCTGTCAGTAACATATTGTGAAAAATGCCTATTTTATGACTGGCTTTTCGCAAATATTGAAATGAATATTATATGTGTTATGTTAGAAGGTTATGCTGTATTAATTTTCTTAAGTAGTGTGTTAAATATGGTTTTAGGTTATAACATAATTTTAAAATAGAAAATATGTATGTGGGATATTTTTTTTAAGAAAGGAATGAGGTACTTGCACCAGATAGCAGCCACAGGATGCCTAAATCTTTCAGAGAAAGAGAATTTATTGCTCCATTATCAGAATAAACAAACTTCTTCCTGCCTTGCTCAGCCCTGAAGATGCTGTTAGGATTAGGAGGAAAAAATTGACACTGACCAGAGAGAATCCTTTGTTTGAATGGAATTTATGCATTATGTATGAGGTGTATGAATATGCAACAGGTCATTGTTTTTAAGGGTTAATCCTCTGTTAACGGGTGTCCTTTTTCGGGCTTATTTTGCCCAGAAAAAGGTACATGGACATCCGTGACTCTTTGTTCCTATTGTCTCATGCCGTCCTAATCCAAATCGTCCAAATTATTATTACTCTAATTATATTGCTATTTTTATAACCATTTTATTGTTATTAAACTTTTAACATTTTTTTAAAATGCCGTTTTTCACAATATAATGAATATTCCTGAAGTCTAGGTAGTTGGAAGGGAAGGGAGAATCATTGTAACAGTGTCTTTGTGCTGTTCTTGCTTCTTCAGTAATAAGCTGCTCTTGGTGGTGCTTTAGGAGCTCCGTGACGGAGTTCCCTCTGATGTTTTTTGCTATAGAACCCAAAAGGTAGAACCCACTATATAATATAATAATGCTTTTTATAACTCTGCCATATGCTTCTCCAGTTGTTGAAAATACAGACATTTCTCACGCATTTAATCGCACTTAGACTTTCCCCTCTCTTTATTCTTTAAGTCAACGGCTTGAAACTCTGAAAAACAAACGGCAAATGGTTTCAGGAGCCCCATGACTTCCCTCTGACGTCTCCCGGTGACGTTTTGGCTACAGAGCGCAGAAGGCGGAGGAGGCGGCCCTGCGGAGCGGAGTCCCGGTGCGCGGGTCCCGGTGCGCGGTCCCGGTGCGCGGGTCCCGGTGCGCGGGTCCCGGTGCGCGGTCCCGGTGCGCGGGTCCCGGTGCGCGGTCCCGGTGCGCGGTCCCGGTGCGCGGCGGGGCTGGCCGAGCATGAGCGCGGCCGTGCGGACGGTGCGGGCTGCGGGCGGGGGCCGCTCGGTGTGCGTGCGCTGGCAGGACGGGAGCGAGAGCCGCTACCCGTGCGTGTGGCTGCGGGACAGCTGCCAGTGCCCGCTCTGCTTCCTGCCCTCCGCCGGGGCGCGCAGGCTGCGCCTCGAGGACCTGGATGTGGACATCGTGGCGAAGCAGGTTGCTCTGGCGGATAGCAAAAAGGTATTTGAAGCGAACCGTCGCTCACCCTCTCGTGAAAGTTGTCTAACGATGCTTATTAATCTGAATTCGAGACAATTGCAAGTCGCGCTCTAATGGCAGTTTGATTGTTTGCAAACCTTAGCAGGTATTTGCAAAGCTTTCAGGAAGAATCACATTTTGGGGAATTCAGATCTTTCCACCTCTGTGTGAAACTTCACTGTATGGATGTTATGCAGAGGCTGCATAAACCCAAGCTTCAGCTATTTTCATATTATAATGCTTTTCAAAATTCTGCCATATGCTTCTTCATCACTAGTTGTTGAAAATACAGACGTTTCTTGCCCATTTAATCACACTTACACTTTTTCCTCTCTTTATTCTTTGAGTAAATGGCTTGAAAATCTGAAAAACAAGAAAATGATTACTTTAATCTATAACAAAATATCAGCTTTATTAGCAAACTTTCAATGCAAAATAACCTTTATCTTGAGTGAACACAAACCAAAGTTAAAGCCAATAATCAGAATTGGACTAATGTCTGTATCCCTGTCTACTTATCTACTCTAACATTTCTTCCTGCAAAATAGAAGGCTATCAAGCAAGAGAGGATAGGAGCTGCCCTCCTTATGAATGTCAACCTTTCCTGATATATAAAATCCTAGTATATTATTTAGATTTTCTTTATGTTTTATTAAAAACAGTTTGTGGCTCCTTTGGCAAACTAATTTCCTTGGTTTTTATACTTCAAGATGTTTTAAACACATTGAAAATGCAGCAGTCAGCCCTGGGTCAGATGGGGCAGCCTCGCTGCAGGGGCAGTTTGCAGAGGCTGACTCACGTGTGAGTAGCTCAGCCACAGGATAAGGGTCTCTGGTGAGGAATTCTGGGCTCCCAAGTTGATTGTAGACAAAACTAATGCAATGTAAATTCATTATTTCATCAGGAAAATTAGGAATTGTCTGCTTCCAAATAAAAGCACAGCACTAATACTAAAATGATACTGATAGTGTTTTACCATCATGTGAATGAGCAGAGTCATGTGAATTGGGAAGTGATACCTATTCATCCACCTTAAAAATTCAGCTGTAGGTCTGTGCTAGACTGAGCTCTTTCAGTTCATGACAAGCAAAGCCATATGCTTTCTATTCATGTTTTTTTTTCAGGAATTTGAAAAACTCAACACTTTTTAAAATTTTATTTGATAGAGAGAAGACTTCAAAAGTAGGAGATGGATTTCTCTCCTGGCAAAAGGTCCTTGTCTGTCTTGTTCTTTTTCTTTTCTCATGACCTGTCAGTGTTTTGCAAGAAATTTTCGCTCTTCTGAGCTGGGGTGAAGTGCTCTCCCCAGTGATACGTGCCAGTTTTTACAATTCTCTTCTTTCTCTTAAGTGCAGCTCCCACAGTGGAAACAGTCCACACAAACCAGCAAATTAGGTCATGGGTTGAAATGAAAATGAACATTTATAAAAAGTGGCAGAATGTGAATGGTGTTTCAGTTGGGTTTTCATTACTTGTTTGCTATCATGCTTCAAGGAAAGTTTAACTCTGATATTATTGATCTAAGTATTACAATTTCTGCTGTTTCTAAGGGGTTTTGTTGTTCTAGATGATGTTTTTCAAATTCTTTTTTTCTAAACTCACCTTTTCCTTTGTGTTGACAGATCTCTGTTACATGGCCTGATGAGCACACAAGTGAATATGAAGCTGAGTGGTTGAAAAAACGATGCTTCTCTGAAGAAGCCAGAGCTGTCATGCGAGCAGATTTATTTTTGCCAGGTAGGAGTTAAATCCATGTCTGCCATGCTTGTGACAAGTGCAAGGGGTTTGACACTGACAGTCCTGGCTGAGGTGCCTGTGTGAGGACCAGGTCTACCCAGCTGAAGCCGTGGCGACAGCCCTTGGTGCCCAGGGCCAGGCAGTGCAGGTGTGACAGGGACCTGTGGTAATCTTTTCCCTCTTCTACCTTCTGTACCTGAGAGAGTACAACTACTTGGGCTGCACTTACTTTCCTAAAAGCCTTCTCTTTCCAGAAAGTGTTAGTAGGTCTCATACATGTGGTCTGTGACTATGCAAGTGTGTGAGTGCTGTTTAAACTATTTAAATTTTTCTAATTTTTTCTAAAAAGAAAGATAATTAGGAATTGCAAGGGAGTTAAAACTGAAATATTTTTCCCCTTGTTCATGGCCTTCTTGTTAAAAAGTAACTGCGTAGCCTGGCAGTTTGTAGTGCTGAAGTTCAGGTTGTGTTTGCTTTGCTTCCCGTGCGTGTTTTAGTGGTAGACTGTCTTTTGATCACAAAGTATTTTGTACAACTGTCTTTGTAACATTTACCCTGTACAAATCACTTACCCTTTAAAGTGGATAATTATAAACCCACGAGGTTTGGCATGATGCATTTCATCATTACTCTGACAGCATTACAGACTGAGCATGGAGGTGTGAAAGCTTGGAGGATGCCTGTGATTGCTCTTGACAGTGTTCCTGTGAGATCTGCTCTTGCAGAAAGCTGTGCATCTTGTTCAGTGTTAAGACAGTATCTGTTAAAATAGGACATTATTGGTTTAAAAGATAAGAAATATCTCCATTCATTTCAGTGGATGCTGTAATAAACTCTTCACAGTTCAGAATGAATCTATTTTCCCCTGGTAATATAAAAGTTTCTATCTACTTTACTTTTGGCAAAAAATAAACTGTTGTGTTTACTATTTTGAAGAGTTTGGCATGCTTCCACAGTGAATATGGTGAAGATACAGACCTCATTCAGGGAACCTAGACTTGATTTTTCAGATGGCAAGAACTTTTATTTGTGAAAAAAAATATCCTATGAAAGCTAGCAGGATGTTTTTTAGTCTTCAAAGGGATCAACATAAATTACTTTGACTAGTACCCAGGCAAAATAATCTAGGTCTCAGGTTGTGTTAATTGGCAAAGGTATTAATTACTGAGATTTCAAAATTTCAGATGTAATGTTACCTTTTTCACCTATTATGAAGTCTTAACTGGCTGTGATTTGCCTTCACATGCATGCATTTGCACAGTGGTTACCTTTGGCATCTAAATACAGTGCATGTTTTGGAAGCCAGTTCTCTGCTCTGCCACTGCTCTTCTCCATTGGGGCCATCCAGGTAAAAATGTACACCAAAGATTTGTTTCATTCTTTGGGCAATGCTTTTTCAAATTCTGTTTCACATGGTTGGTCTGAAGAAATTGTGTATGAACATTACACCAATTAACTGGCTTTATTTAAGTGGCGTCATTCATCTCTTCCTCATGCTCTCAGACAATGATAATAATGAACTCCCTGGCTCATTACGATTGACACCTTCTTGCAGTTTTCCCCAGGTTTCAGTTTCAAAAAACAAGGCTGTGAGTTTGCTTGCTGGCTGTTTAAGATCTGTTTTTCATTGTATTTTTTGGTAAGTTTAGAACACACTTCCTTGTGGTGATGCACACTGCAAATTACATGCCCTTAAGCAGCTAACCATAGCCCAGCTGTATGATGTTACAGACAATGGTACAAAATGCCAGCCCTGCATGCTGCTTCAACAAAGAGAAATGCAAGCTTGCCAGACTGCTGTAGTTAAAGGTTAACCTTCACTGTTGACATTCACAGCTGAGGCTGGGTTTTTTTGTTTGGTTTTTTTTTCTTTTGCAAGTGGTTATTTGCTTTTAGTGCTGCTTAAAAAAAAAAGTTTTTCCATCATAGTTTCTGATTCAAGAAACGTAGATGTCAGACATTGTGTTAAGCCCAAAAAGAAGAGTAGGTCAGATTTTCAGTGCATGATGAAGTGACTATAAATAGCTCTATGGCAGTATGTCAAGATTTCTCTTTTAAAACATTGCCAGATCCTCAGTGCAATACGCAAAATCAAAATCTGCTATTTGTGTATATCAAGGCTCATTTCAGCCCAGCTTACAAGATGCTCCCAAAAGAACAGCCAAAGAGCCATATTCCACTTCTACAGCTGTGGTGTCTCAAAGATACTCGTTTTTCTTTCTGTTTACTGGAGTTCTACACAGCAGATGTCACAGGAATGATTTACCATGTCTGTAATTCAGATGCTGGGGGTAGTAGAGGGTGCTTGTGAGACACACTGAGTAAGCCAGTATCCAGTATCTAACTCCATTGTGTTTGCTAGGCTCATTTTCCAACATGCTGGCATTCCAACAATAGGATGGGGCTGGGGAGTTGGGGGGGTGGGGGGTGGGAATTAGATAACATCACAATCATATTTTCCTGTTGGGTGAAAGAGAAGATTCTGCAGAGCTAGTCTGCAGTGGTACCTAATATTTTTAACCTTAGGTTAGGTTCATGTTTAAACAGAAGTTTAAAGGTTTCAAATGATGATAATTCTTTAAAATGTGATGATACAGAATGTTTATATCCAGCTCCATAAATTTGAATCAGGATGTTAATAGCATCAATGCTAATTTCAGTTTCTCTGCTAGGTCCTGAGAGATGATAATTTTAGGAGGATGAAGTTAAAAGTAGTTTTTTACTTTAAAAGTTTGGTCATTTGAATTTATCCTGCAGTAATAACTAATAAGGGCTTAATAACAAG